TCTGTGACAGCTCAAGAACTGAACTGCCAGGTAAGAGTGAGTCAGAAGGAAGTGGTCTCACTAATGACAGCAGAAGGCACCCACATCTACCCAGACCCCTTAGAAGAAGACGTCCTGTAACACCACAGCTGGAAGAGCCTGGTTCCAGTACAGACATCGAGAACAATGACTTGTCATTTGAGGAGGTACTCTCCAGACGACGCCCTCCACGAAAGCGAAGACCACCTCAGTGCTTTGGGGAGTGGAAATAAGTATTGTACTGTAATAACTTAGGTTAGATGGTGCATTTCATGTATTTAAATTTTCCCTTGTTGAGGACAACAAGGATTTTAAGTGGTGGCGAGTGTGGAAGGGAGATTTGAATGTTTTTTCATGACACATTTTCTTTTACAAGCTTCCTTAGTTTAGTCAGCAACTTGTCTGGTACCCCGTATCACCTTATAGTTTAGCATTGCTCATCGAGCTTCCCGCAGTTAATTGTTCAGACTGGTGCGTGCTACTGAAGAGTGAGCATTACCACTCACAGCTCTCTTCAGCCTTCCCACATTTGCACTTTTCTGCTCTTGTCACCAGTTGCAGCTGGGGTTTGTGCCTGATTGGTCACTCGAGTAATCCACTTGTGGCACTCTTTTGGGTTGCTATAACATTTCCATTTGTTTTCATTTTTTAACTTTGTCCTGACCTCCCAAATAAATCGCGACCCAGTCTTCCTGAACCAGGTGTCTTCAGATCTTGTTACTTTCCCAAAGTCTTATGTATTAAGTTAGCGGGGCGAATTTCCAGGTTACACATACGTGTCCAGATCCGGAATCCCCAGCAGGAAGTGTTTAAGCCGCCCTCCCTCTCCGCCTCCATTAACCGTCCCACCCCCCTGCACCACATGCACATCATGGACATGAATGAAAATAAGACTGAGTGCACACAACAACACACAACTGGTCATGAACCCCCAAACTATTCCGCCTTGCCTTTGACGCCAGGCTTCACAAAACTCTGCAGCTGGAACTGCTCTGGCTTTTCAAGGACGAAGTCAACTGCCGAGTCCAAGCCGAGCTTCCGGGCCCTCTCTGCCAGGGTCGTCTTCGCCCCACTCTTGTATGGAGCAAACTGTAACACAGAAAAATGAATTTTCTCCAAGCATAATATTTCTGAGAAAATATCTCAGAGTAGTCAAATAAATGTATTTCAAACAGTACAAGGGCTTTTTACGGATTCAAGTAAATGTACATGTGCTAATTGCAATTTAAAACATTATTTTTGAAAAACCTGTGAATGTTGGCTGGATCAATTTGGGTAATTCAACATTTTAAAATTTCAATTCAATCAATCATTCTTGCATTTGATTTGACCGATTTCAGAATTAAGAATTATGAGGTTCTGTCAACCATATGTACATTTAAGTCTTAATTTTTAGGCTCAACCTCTTTAGTTGAAGAAACCATCTTGGGGCTGCCGCTGTGCTACATGTAGTTCGCCGCTGTACTCGGTGTGAATGAAATACTCTTACCAGTGTGTTGACTTCCTCCAGCGTTTGAGCACTCTGGAAGGCACTCATTAACCTGGCTGTCATTTTGCCACTTTTCTCTATCTGCTTCACTGCAGATGATGCTTTTGCTTGCACGTTCCTGAAAAGGGTGATGTGTTGACGATAATTATACGCTCCTACTGAGGGAGCTTGTCCAACCTGCCAAACTGCATTTCAACATACATGTATTTTGTGACTCTGCAGGTGTTGACTTTATCTGCATGTAAATAGACATCGTATCAGCTGGTGTTGCATGTCATGCAGCATAGGCACGCACACAGACAGGCGTCCCCATAGTGTACAGAATAATACAGGGACTGCGATGCCCAATGTACAAAGATTCCTTAGTTGCCCTTAATTTCCCTCAAACAGAAACATGTATACATATAAAACATCATTGTGAGAGAGATACATGTATGACAAAAAAATTGTTGATTGCTATGATGCGGGACATGATGCTTAAAACACCCTCCATACTTAGTCCCAAGGTCTGGTTTTCAGAACATACATGTGCATGTACGTATCTCACACCACAGCGGTCAACAATTGTCAA